TATTCTTAAGTGTCGTTCATGGTCATCTTTACTTCTAAAATAAATCAAAATGTCGTTAATAAATACAATGACAAAATCATCCAGGAATGGTTTAAAGACTTTATGCATCAAATCCATAAATGCTGCCGGTGCATTAGTAACTCCAAAAGACATGACTAAGAATTTATAATGTCTATACCTGGTTCGAAAGGCAATTTTCTCAATCTTTAGCTTTGACTTTCAACTGGTGATATCCTGACCTCAAATCAATCTTTGAAAATACCTGAGCTCCCTGTAACTGGTCAAACAAATCATCAATTTGAGGCAAAGGATACTTATTTTTGATAGTTACCTTGTTAAGTTCCCGGTAATCAATACACAATCGGAGTGTGCCATCTTTCTTCTTCACAAACAATATAGGTGCACCTTATGGTGATGTATTCGATCAAATAAACCCCTTGTCAAGTAATCCCTACAACTGAACTTTCAATTCTTTCATTCAAATAGTAGACATACGATATTGAGTTTTGGATATAAATTGAGTACTCGGTACTATATAGATTACAAATTCAATTTCTCTATAAATTAGTTATCCTGGTGAGTCTTCTGGAAACACATCAGGAAAATCCCTTACTATAGAGGTGCTATCCACGGTAATATTCATGGTTTGATCATTTATCACACTACATAAGTACCCTTGACATCCTTTACTAATTAGTTTACGTGCTTTCATTACAGGTATAAATTATGGTGGAGGAGCTACACCCTTACCCTCAAAATAAAATTCATCTTGACCCAGAGGTCGAAATACCACTCGCTTAGATGCACAATCAATGGTTGCATAATACTTAGATAGCCAGTCCATATCTAAGATCACATCAAAATGTCTCATATCAAGGGGTAACAAATTAGCATATACTGTGGCATTTCCAAGTAATAATTCACATGCAGAAAACATAGATGAGCACAACATAGATTCCCTCATTAGTGATGTGACACATAATATGTAACCTAAGGATTCAATGGGTCTATTCAATTTATGAGCAAATACCATAGAAACAAAAGAAACCCGAATCAATCAATACATATGTAGCTTGGCCACAAATAGAAAGTGTACTTGAAACTACCGCCCCTGTGTTTTGAGTATCTCCTGGAATAAGTGCGATCACTCTTCCTTGCCTTACATCACTTCGTGTTGTCACCAGAGTTGTGTTGGCTCTTGCTAGTGGGACTAACCTAGATGAACTTGTAATGCCTCAGTTGCCATTTCGTCGAGGTTGTGTACAATCTCTTGCCATGTGACTGACTTTTTCATACTGACAGTAAGCTCCCGTGGTACGATAGCACAATTGGGTTCCAAATTAGCACTTTGGTTTGAGCTTGAGTTACTAGATTTTGATTTCTTGCTCATTGATGATGTTGCTCCCTTACTAATGTTCTGTCTCATACCTCTCTATTCGAAATTCCGATTGTGACCGACTAGGTTTGCCTTTGACATAAGTGCCCTGTTTAACACATCAACATATTTAAGCAGTTTCAAAACATTGATTCTATAAAGGATGGAGTCACGGAGACCTCCCTCAAACTTTATGGCCTTTTTGTAGTCCATATCAACCAAATGCAGTGCAAACCATGCTAGTTCAGTAAACTCAGCTACATATTCTGCCACTGATTTATTCCCCTATTTTAGCTGCTCAAATTTTATCACTTTTCTATCTCAAACACACTATGGGAAGTATTTCTCATAGAAGATCTCTAAAAACTAAGCCCAATTAATCCCCCTGTTAGTATCTCGCACTAACATCCACCACCCTCTTGCTTCATCTTCTAAAGTGAAGGTAGCCAATAGAACTTTTTGTGTCTCTGTACACTGAAACACTTCGAACAATTTCTTGATCCCTAACACCCAGGCCCTTGCCTTTAATGGATCAACACCCCCATAGAACAAAGGTGGCTTCATCATTTTAAATTCCTTGGTGAGGGCAATGGTTCTATCATCTGTTTGATGATCTGGCATCAGTGGTAGGGACTGTGGTTGCTATTGTTGCCATTGTTGTTGTTGTCTTAGGCTTTCAGCCATATCGCGCATCATTCTTTCCATCCTATCAAGATGGTTGGAGGTAGACTCCTCTAGTTCATCTCCTTGTGTTCTCACCATCATCTAGATGAAACTTGTATCATGACAAATACATTGTATGAACACACATATACATATACACATTTTCAAAAGTAATCTCATATTGTCATTCAAATGCAATGAATGCAATTCTTAAGTCTTTTCTAAACATCTTATTGTTCAATGAACAAGTGAGTGAGGTATGACTCATGCTCTGATACCACTCTGTCATGACCCTAGCTCGCCCCTAGAGGTTCAGGTCGCAACCGGACAGTAATCCCAGATTACCTTCAGACTCAAAGTCAAATCAATTATAATACAACAATGCATAAAGTAACAATGAGCCATTAAGCAGTGCATACATGCCGAAAATCATAAGTAGTAAAAACCAACTTTAACTTCATAAAACTTATATACAATAGTCCAAAGTTAGACTCCTCACCCTACATCATTCATACAAGTTGCAAAATTGTCCAAAGAAACAAGAACAAAACAAGACAAAAGTTAGGTTGACAATGCTTAACTCCTCTTGAGTCCAAGCTCGCCCTTTCACGAAGGCACTTTCCAAAAGGCTTCAAAAGGGTAGACGTCGAGGCGACTTTAGACATGACGTTCCACTTGCTCAACTACATATATATAAGGAAAAAGGGTGAGCTGGAGCCTAGTGAGTAATGGCGGTATAAAGAAAAACATGTTTATATGAAATGTTGAGTGCAAAACCATGAAGAACTTTAAGAAATAACCCAAGTAAAGCCCATGTATGTATGAATTTTGAAGAAACTAAGTTCAAAAGTAGAGAATTACGCATGCATGTACACAATTCACTTGAATTCACTAAACTCTTGTTGATTCTAGCTCATTTCTTTCAATGACATGCAAATGGTCCTACAAATTGGTGAATTCATTTTCCTACATGGTTTAACTTCATGAATTGTAGGTTAGAATCATACCTTGAGCTTGAATTTAGCCTCAATTAAGCTTAATCTCTACAACCTCCCTTGGTTTCTCTTGAATTCTTCTTCTTTCTCTATAAAGTGTTGAATTATCTCTCTAGCTCTCAAATTTTTAGCAAAAAGTTGATGTAAAATGAAGTCTAAGCATGTTTAACAAATATACATATAGGGTGATTAAGGCCTCACTAATCACCTATGCTTAAGGCTAATCAAGTGGGCTTAAATCTAATCAGTTATGATTATTTTATTCTAATTATTTTGATTCGAATCAAATTTTAATCAAACTTACCATATGATTCTAAAAATTCTAACTAGCCATTGAATTAACCAATTTTGATTTTTGAAGTCGTTTGGACTTTCAATTTTAAATTCTAAGTCGCCAATTAAACAGATAGTTCATAAACAAACAAATAAGTTTCTAATAAATACAAAATTGTGCAATTTTTGCCCATTCAAATACTAGATAAAAATAATACGGAGGTTGGGGTCGTTACATTTACACCACTACTGAAGGGGGTTGTTTGGGCCCGTGGGGCATATCACTGGTCCCGTATCTTATTCAAAGCCTTTCTATCAGTAGGATCAACTTCTACAGTTGCATGATGGGTAGTTTTACTTTTCATTGGGAGCTGATTCGAACCGTTCATTTTATTGGGTATTTCATGTATTTCATCCACAAAAAGAATTAGGTTGATTCAAAACTGTAATTTGTTCAATTTACTGTGTTTTTTTCTACAACAATGAACGATAATTTTTGTTTTTAAAAACTAAATCATACATTTTTTTATGACAAAAATAATAAATTAAATAAGTTGTAGATATCAGATCAATCTAAATCGTTTTGTGGATAAAATGCACGAAATGCTCGACAAAATGAATAGTTCGAATTATCAAAACCGAGCTAGTGAAATTGCCCCTCTACTAGAGGGAATCCTCCTCGTAGAAAATGCTTATCCAAGTGAAATTATAGCCATGCCGTAGGGTGTGGTGATGAGAAGGTTAAAAATTCAAGCTGATGGAATATCAATGATTCCTTTAGTTGTAATATAACTTTACTAACAAAACTAACATTCTAATATCTTGACAAGAAAAATAAATAAATAAATAAAATTGTTTATTCATATTTGAAAGGACATTCAACTAGACAAAGAGTTAACCTAACTAATTGGGCAACTATTCTTTAAAATGAGAGTCCCTTTCTTGGACAGAAATATTTTAAAAAAAAAAAGTTTTATATCTAACTTGAGAGACTAGTTGAGCTTTAGTGGGCTCATTTTGGGCTAATTTAAGTCATCATAATCTTTCACTTTTTATACATAGAAAAAATTAAGATGATCAAATATCGATAACTATATGTTTGAATTATATTTGTCTAAAAAAATAAACGATAAATATAATTTAATGAGTAATCATATATTTTTTATAATATAAATGTGATTAAAATATATAATTATCGGTATATAATCATCATAATTTTTTATATACATATTTTACTTAATCAATTTTAACAAATAAATGACTCAAATGTCAAATCTCAAAATTAACTCACCAAATTTAAACTATTCTCTCAAATTAAACACGGCAAGAAATTTGACTTTTAGCTATAGACTTGAAAAACACAACAATGGGCTTTTGCGACGTTTAATATTTTCGTCATAAATACAACCGCCGCAATAGCTTAGCAGCAATTCAAAAAAGTCACTAAAAACATTAGACGGCGTTTTTTAAAACGTCGCAAAATCTTTAGCAGCAGCTTACTTTACCGCTAGTGCTGTAATGATGACGTCATTTAGTGACGTTATTTGAAAAAACGTCACCTTTCTTCATTTTTAATACTTGCCTTAGATGTGATGTCATGATGACATCATTTAGTTGCATTTTTCATCATTTTTTTCATTTATTTTTTTTAAGAACACAACCCAATTAATTGCGAATTTCACTAGGAATGGAAATTGAAAATTAACGGAGAATTTATATACATTTAACTAAGAACAGAGATTGAGAATTAACTGATAATTAATATAAAAAAACATAGATTGGCTCAAATTTGAATTACAATGCCAAATTAAAGACCATAAAAATTCTAGCTCCTTGGAGATTTAACCCTACAACTTTACAAATCTCAATCATATACTGTCAAACAGTTTGAATTTTCTTCAAATCAGCCCCCCATCTTGTTTAGTGCAAACCTAAGGTAAGAATCTTCATTTTCTCCATGAGAACACTGATCAGGTCTGCTTGTACCTACACCACATACATTCTTCATAAAATTAAACAAGGAAGAAATTGGTTACCAATAGGAACCATCTGAAACGAGCAAGGAACACGCTTGAAATCCTCCAAAAAATACCTACAGAATGATCAGGCAACTTCCTCGTAGCATCTATAGCACCCTTGATATTATTCCGTTCCAAAAAATGGCACACCACCTACATTCATTAGAATTTTATATTATCTGCATCCTTACATAAAACAAGATGCTTGAATGCAATTAACATAAGAGAAATAGCAATTTTCTTCAAAATGGAAAATAGGAGGCAAAAGTTTGTCGATTATTACAAACATCCAGTAATTTTCCATGCAGGAAAACTGCTTAATAGATGAGATAATTTCAGCAATCAGCAATCAGCAATAATGCCAAAATAGTAATATATCAGATCCACGGACCTGTAATTTTGTCAAGCGAGACCAAAGGGTACTTAAGAATACATCATGATTCTACATCAGATCTTCAGCAGCATTACCATCATTTGCAGATGTCAACTCCCTTTCACTTATTTGTGGATGTCCATTCTGTAAGTTTCCAAGTAGCATGATAAATATTCAAAAGACTACTTGACAAAATCTAAGAATATGTCTGCATTATATGAGAGAAAAGCCTTGAAATAAAAAAATAAATAAATAAAAAATCTGAAATACAAGGTTTTATTTTAGATAGTCCAGAATGGAACACAACTCTCATTACAACAAGCCATTAACACTGGCTAATTTATCTGTTAGTACTGTTTTATCTTTACACAGTCAATTCTTTTAATGAATAACTTTGTCAATCCTTTTATAAACATGGATCCTAAGAATTTGGTGAAATGGCTTAATAGGATCCATGCCAATCCCAAGTAATTGGGAGAAAGGCTTAGTTCAATTGAGTTGTAGCCTATGGTTTCATTACATCTACAGATACGTAAGTTGAGGATTGATTAAATATTTTGCAATGGAGTTGATTGATTAGAGCTATGAATGGTAGATATGAAAGCTAGTGTTAGTTTGTCTTGGGTGAGCGAACTAGCGTGAGGTGGTGGTTATCTGTAACAGAGGGGGTTGCAAAGGGAATGGTGGTGCTTTCATGGTTGATGGAGGTTTGGGTCCAACAAAGGGATGAGAGAAAGAGAAAGGTATTTGTTAGAAAATGTATAAATATTTCATTAAAGGTTGATTTTGTTGATACCTTGTAATAATTACGGTTTAGTGACCAGTTCTTTATGGTGGTAATTGACGGCAACTAGACACGATAGAGGTGAAGGTAGTTGGATTTGGACTACTAGGATCTACATATAACAAAATAATGTAGTCTACTTATTCAAAATATCCTGTGAGAGTGAGAGGTGATATAAATTGAAACCAAATTACATATCGATTTACCTATGCACAATAGCCACAGAAGATAACTATTTTTGGGGGAGGGGGGGAAACCATAACACGGGGGATATTTTAGCCGTCTCGGGTATTATTTGAGGGGTCTTAGGTATTATTTGAGGGGTTGTATCAGGTGCCTGAACTTCATCACTATTTAATCTCTCTCTCCTTTCAAACCTCTCAACCGGAGTGCGTGTCCTTCCTTGTACAACTGCCACTGCCAAAAGAAAACTTCTGCATGAATCAGATTCTATCAAACACGTCTTTAAAAACTGTGTAGATAGCATTTGATAGCAGACCTCCATTCAAAACTTTAACTGAATTTGTCCCTTCAGTGCCATTGAGGGACTCATTACCTGCAAATAATTGAAAACAAATCAATATTTTGAGCAACAGATTATGTGGGTGTTTGGAAAGTGGGTTTTTATGTAAGTTTTTTTACTTGTAGGATTTTATTGGAGAAAAAAATTTTGGTGGTTGGGAAGATAGTTAGGTTTTTTGTGGTTGGATGTGATGTTTGTGAGAGAAAAAGTAAAATAATTATGAGATTGGATGTTATATTTTGTTTGGATTTGTTTTTTTTTGATTTTGCAAGAACTGTCTTTTAGTGGAAAAAAATAAAAATAAAAAACCCAAACAAAAATCTTCCCAAACACCGCCTATTATTATAATAACGTATATATGTAATCAAAAGCTCATAGGTTGCGTATCTATTGTTGAACTCATAGGATTTAACACGAGGAAGGAGAAATCAAATTTAAAATGCATGTAGGGAACAATGTTTAAAATTCTATATCCTTTGACAAGGCTCAAATATAAATGGCATTGATCTGCCAAAAATTCAAAAATGGAAACTAGTAAGAGAATTCAGGAAATATTGGAATGACATGGAGTTTAAGAACATGCTGTTTCACTATATTAGTCTTTCTTTTGAAGAATTTCAAACAGGAAAGGAAATTAAGTTTTCAGAAAGCTTTTTGACAAACAATTTTCAGAAATTAATTTAGAAAGAAGTTTCATCAAGTAATCTCCCCTTTCTTTCTGAAAAAATTAAACTACTTCCAGAAATAGAACCAATATACTGAAATTATAAGCGAAGTTTCGATCTCAAAATATAGGTTTATTAATGGAATCCTTAAAAAGGCTTCAAAAGGGTAGACATCAAGGCGACTTTAGACATGACGTTCCACTTGCTCAGCTACATATATATTAGGAAAAAGGGTGAGCTGGAGCCTAGTGAGTAATGGCAGTATAAAGAAAAACATGTTTATATGAAATGTTGAGTGCAAAACTATGAAGAACTTTAAGAAATAACCCAAGTAAAGCCCATGTATGTATGAATTTTGAAGAAACTAAGTTCAAAAGTAGAGAATTACGCATGCATGTACACAATTCACTTGAATTCACTAAACTCTTGTTGATTCTAGCTCATTTCTTTCAATGACATGCAAATGGTCCTACAAATTGGTGAATTCATTTTCCTACATGGTTTAACTTCATGAATTGTAGGTTAGAATCATACCTTGAGCTTGAATTTAGCCTCAATTAAGCTTAATCTCTACAACCTCCCTTGGTTTCTCTTGAATTCTTCTTCTTTCTCTATAAAGTGTTGAATTATCTCTCTAGCTCTCAAATTTTTAGCAAAAAGTTGATGTAAAATGAAGTCTAAGCATGTTTAACAAATATACATATAGGGTGATTAAGGCCTCACTAATCACCTATGCTTAAGGCTAATCAAGTGGGCTTAAATCTAATCAGTTATGATTATTTTATTCTAATTATTTTGATTCGAATCAAATTTTAATCAAACTTACCATATGATTCTAAAAATTCTAACTAGCCATTGAATTAACCAATTTTGATTTTTGAAGTCGTTTGGACTTTCAATTTTGAACTCTAAGTCGCTAATTAAAAAGATAGTTCATATACAAACAAATAAGTTCCTAATAAATACAAAATTGTGCAATTTATGCCCATTCAAATACTAGATAAAAATAATACGGAGGTTGGGGTCGTTACATTTACACCACTACTGAAGGGGGTTGTTTGGGCCCGTGGGGCATATCACTGGTCCCGTATCTTATTCAAAGCCTTTCTATCAGTAGGATCAACTTCTACAGTTGCATGATGGGTAGTTTTACTTTTCATTGGGAGCTGATTCGAACCGTTCATTTTATTGGGTATTTCATGTATTTCATCCACAAAAAGAATTAGGTTGATCCAATAACTGTAATTTGTTCAATTTACTGTGTTTTTTTCTACAACAATGAACGATAATTTTTGTTTTTAAAAACTAAATCATACTTTTTTTTTATGACAAAAATAATAAATTAAATAAGTTGTAGATATCAGATCAATCTAAATCGTTTTGTGGATAAAATGCACGAAATGCTCGACAAAATGAACAGTTCGAATTATCAAAACCGAGCTAGTGAAACTGCCCCTCTACTAGAAGGAATCCTCCTCGTACAAAATGCTTATCCAAGTGAAATTGTAGGCATGCTGTAGGGTGTGGTGATGAGAAGGTTAAAAATTCAAGCTGATGGAATATCAATGATTTCTTTAGTTGTAATATAACTTTACTAACAAAACTAACATTCTAAAATCTTGACAAGAAAAAAAAAATTTGTTTATTCATATTTGAAAGGACATTCAACTAGACAAAGAGTTAACCTAACTAATTGGGCAAGTATTCTTTAAAATGAGAGTCCCTTTCTTGGAAAGAAATATTTATAAAAAAAAAAAAATTAATTTATATCTAACTTGAGAGACTAGTTGAGCTTTAGTGGGCTCATTTTGGGCTAATTTAAGTCATCATAATCTTTCACTTTTTATACATAAAAAAAAATTAAGATGATCAAATATCGATAACTATATATTTAAATTATATTTGTCTAAAAAAATAAACGATAAATATAATTTAATGAGTAATCATATATTTTTTATAATATAAATGTGGTTAAAATATATAATTATCGGGACATAATCATCATAATTTTTTATATACATATTTTACTCAATCAATTTTAACAAATAAATGACTCAAATGTCAAATCTCAAAATTAACTCACCAAATTTAAATTATTCTCTCAAATTAAACACGGCAAGAAATTTGACTTTTAGCTATAGACTTGAAAAACACAACAATAGGCTTTTGCGACGTTTAATATTTTCGTTGTAAATACAGCCGCCGCAATAGCTTAGCAGCAATTCAAAAAAGTCACTAAAAACATTAGACGTCGTTTTTTAAAACGTCGCAAAATCTTTAACAGCCGCTTACTTTACCGCTAGTGCTATAATGATGACATCATTTAGTGACATTATTTGAAAAAACGCCACCTTCATTTTTAATACTTGCCTTAGATGTGATGTCATGATGACATCATTTAGTTGCATTTTTCATCATTTTTTTCATTTATTTTTTTTAAGAACACAACCCAATTAATTGCGAATTTCACTAGGAATGGAAATTGAAAATTAACGGAGAATTTATATACATTTAACTAAGAACAGAGATTGAGAATTAACTGATAATTAATATAAAAAAACATAGATTGGCTCAAATTTGAATTACAATGCCAAATTAAAGACCATAAAAATTCTAGCTCCTTGGAGATTTAACCCTACAACTTTCCAAATCTCAATCATATACTGTCAAACAGTTTGAATTTTCTTCAAATCAGCCCCCCATGTTGTTTAGTGCAAACCTAAGGTGAGAATCTTCATTTTCTCCATGAGAACACTGATCAGGTCTGCTTGTACCTACACCACATACAATCTTCATAAAATTAAACAAGGAAGAAATTGGTTACCAATAGGAACCATCTGAAACGAGCAAGCAACACGCTTGAAATCCTCCAAGAAATACCCACAGAATGATCAGGCAACTTCCTCGTAGCATCTATAGCACCCTTGACATTATTCCGTTCCAAAAAATGGCACACCACCTACATTCATTAGAATTTTATATTATCTGCATCCTTACATAAAACAAGATGCTTGAATGCAATTAACATAAGAGAAATAGCAATTTTCTTCAAAATGGAAAATAGGAGGCAAAAGTTTGTCAATTATTACAAACATCCAGTAATTTTCCATGCAGGAAAACTGCTTAATAGATGAGATAATTTCAGCAATCAGCAATAATGCCAAAATAGTAATAAATCAGATCCACGGACCTGTAATTTTGTCAAGCGAGACCAAAGGGTACTTAAGAATACACCATGATTCTACATCAGATCTTCAGCAGCATTACCATCATTTGCAGATGTCAACTCCCTTTCAGTTATTTGTGGATGTCCATTCTGTAAGTTTCCAAGTAGCATGATAAATATTCAAAAGACTAGACAAAATCTAAGAATATGTCTGCATTATATGAGAGAAAAACCTTGAAATAAAAAATTGAAAAAAAATTAAAAATTAAAAAAAAAAAACTGAAATACAAGGTTTTATTTTAGATAGTCCAGAATGGAACACAACTCTCATTACAACTAGCCATTAACACTGGCTAATTTATCTGTTAGTACTGTTTTATCTTTACACAGTCAATTCTTTTAATGAATAACTTTGTCAATCCTTTTATAAACATGGATCCTAAGAATTTGGTGAAATGGCTTAATAGGATCCATGCCAATCCCAAGTAATTGGGAGAAAGGCTTAGTTCAATTGAGTTGTAGCCTATGGTTTCATTACATCTACAGATACGTAAGTTGAGGATTGATTAAATATTTTGCAATGGAGTTGATTGATTAGAGCTATGAATGGTAGATATGAAAGCTAGTGTTAGTTTGTCTTGGGTGAGCGAACTAGCGTGAGGTGGTGGTTATCTGTAACAGAGGGGGTTGCAAAGGGAATGGTGGTGCTTTCATGGTTGATGGAGGTTTGGGTCCAACAATGGGATGAGAGAAAGAGAAAGGTATTTGTTAGAAAATGTATAAATATTTCATTAAAGGTTGATTTTGTTGATAACTTGTAATAATTACGGTTTAGTGACCAGTTCTTTATGGTGGTAATTGACGGCAACTAGACACGATAGAGGTGAAGGTAGCTGGATTTGGACTACTAGGATCTACATATAACAAAATAATGTAGTCTACTTATTCAAAATATCCTGTGTGAGTGAGAGGTGATATAAATTGAAACCAAATTACATATCGATTTATCTATGCACAATAGCCACAGAAGATAACTATTTTTGGGGGAGGGGGGGAAACCATAACATGGGGGATATTTTAGCCGTCTCGGGTATTATTTGAGGGATCTCAGGTATTATTGAGGGGTTGTATCAGGTGCCTGAACTTCATCACTATTTAATCTCTCTCTCCTTTCAAACCTCTCAACCGGAGTGCTTGTCCTTCCTTGTACAACTGCCACTGCCAAAAGAAAATTTCTGCATGAATCAGATTCTATCAAACACGTCTTTAAAAACTGTGTAGATAGCATTTGATAGCAGACCTCCATTCAAAACTTTAACTGAATTTGTCCCTTCAGTGCCATTGAGGGACTCATTACCTGCAAATAATTGAAAACAAATCAATATTTTGAGCAACAGATTATGTGGGTGTTTGGGAAGTAGATTTTTTTGTAAGTTTTTTTAGTTGTAGGATATTATTGGAGAAAAAAATTTTGATGTTTGGGAAGATAGTTAGGTTTTTTGTGGTTGGATGTGATGTTTGTGAAAGAAAAAGTGAAATAATTATGGAATTGGATGTGATATTTTGTTTGGATTTGTTTTTTTTTTGGTTTTGCAAGAACTGTCTTTTAGTGGAAAAAAATTAAAAAAAAAAAAACCCAAACAAAAATCTTCCTAAACACCGCCTATTATTATAATAACGTATATATGTAATCAAAAGCTCATAGGTTGTGTATCTATTGTTGAACTCATAGGATTTAACATGAGGAAGGAGAAATCAAGTTTAAAATGCATGTAGGGAACAATGCTTAAAATTCTATATCCTTTGACAAGGCTCGAATATAAATGGCATTGATTTCCCAAAAATTCAAAAATGGAAACTAGTAAGAGAATTCAGGAAATATTGGAATGACATGGAGTTTAAGAACATGATGTTTCACTATATTAGTCTTTCTTTTGAAGAATTTCAAACATGAAAGGAAATTAAGTTTTCAGAAAACTTTTTGACAAACAATTTTTAGAAATTAATTTAGAAAGAAGTTTCATCAAGTAATCTCCACTTTCTTTCTGAAAAAATTAAACTACTTCCAGAAATAGAACCAATATACTGAAATTATAAGCGAAGTTTCGATCTCAAAATATAGGTTTATTAACACAATTGGTAAAGAATTCTTAGATTTCATTCTCCATAGGAAAATCTCACGAAGCAACAATGAGAATATAATGGAATGAGCAAAAAGTTCAGCTGAAGGTGCTATGAGTTTAGAACGGGCCAGCTTCCAATCTGATACTGGTTGATCAAGTTGACAGACAAAAAGATCCAGTATGTCTCTGAAGTCACCAGAGATCAACACCCAAACATAAGGGACTGCGGCAGAAATAAATCATACAGGAAAAGCATATAATGGAGGAATATTGCTTCAAGGAAGAAATTAAAACTAGATATGTTAAAATCCAATGAATGGAAAGATGCAAAAAATTTATGTACAGATTTTTTTGGTTTCTCTTTAAGTGTGGCCCCAAGGAATATAATATCATAATGAAGATTTATCACTATCATAAAGATATGGTAACATCAATGGACATGTAAGATATTGATATCGGTTCAGAACAATTAGAGACATTAATGTAAATTTATAAACACCATGGGTAATACCGATATATCAAGGCCTTGAAAAATGCTATATAATAGATACATCACAAATATAGCAAATATTTCATTCCAGAGGTGGGAGAGAGGTGTATGAGGTAGGGTGGAATGTTGAGGACACCAAACAGAAGATCTAGTCATTATGTTTCTAACCTCTCAATCAACACCGCCAATAGATGAATTCAAATAAATGAAAATGAAATCCAAATATAAAGACATTTTTGGCTAAACCCCGATTAGCAACTTCCATGTAAAAATAAATACTTACTGTCCACGTATATATTTTTTGTTTCTTTAATCTCGTAATCTGGAGACGGGCAGTGGAAATTTGAAGCATTCCTTCTTTGACTCTCAACTTTTGCCAAAGAACTTTCCCGGAGATCACATTTCTGCTCAGAGAGGTTAAGTTGAAACTAAATAAATCACAAATATAAAACACAAAATATAAACTAAACTAAACTTTTATTTAAGAGGGATCGTATGAAGAGTAATATCAAACCTGTGGGCCGAAAGGAAGAATGAAAGGTTCATTATCGGGATTTATTATCAGACGACCAATTAACTTTGCAGCCCCAAAAATCCAGGCTTTGACAGAAGATTTCAGCATCCCAATGATGGCCTGGACTGCATGTTTCTCCCTGGTTTGACAAATACCAGTGAGAAAATTCTCGAATAAGGGGGGTTCTTCTCCTTCTATTTTTGGAACAAGCAATTCTGAAATTGGAAATCATAGTTGCATGATGTGAAGAAAAATAAGAAGTCAATTTTCACATAATTTTGATGAACGAAGGCTTTGATGAACGAAAGATTCAAAGATCCAGGAGTGGTGCCAAATTCACAATTGTCTCGAGGGCATTTGTGACAAGTTCCTCATCCTCTGCAAACATTGAGATTATTTTTCAAGCACTTGCATTCAAGGAAAATACAAAGTAAATAAACACTTACATTCTAGGAAAATACAATGTACCATTCATTCCAGGTATGTCAAACTATTTTACAATAATCATTCATATCTTATAAACATCATGGAATATGTCAAAATCACACTAGAGGAAGTCAGAAATTCCCTTAGGCCCCGTTTGTTTTCAGAGGTAGAATGGAGGGGATCTTAGTTGCAGGAATCGCGCAACTAGGTGAGAATCGCGATTCCGCGATTCCTAGTAAGAAACGTGTAAGAATCGCGTTTCTGTGGAGAGAGAAACGCGATTCAGTGCAAGATGGGATCGTAAAGGGAAGAGAGAGAGACAGACAGATAGACAGAAACCCTAACCTTCGACGTCAACATGAGAGGAGAAAGGGCTTCGATCATCTTCGTCACTCTCGCGATCGTCTTCATCACTCTCTCGATCGTCTTCGTCTTCGTCACTTTCTCTGTGCTTCTCTCTCTCTCTTTCTCTTCGTCTCATCTCTGTCGTTGTTCTCTTCACACACTCTCTCTTCGTCTCTAGATAGATCATATATAATATATAATATATATAATTTATCATATAATATATATATATAATAATTTATAAATTATAAATTATAATATAATTTATAAATTATAAATTTATCATAAACAATATAATTTTTATTTGTAAAATAAAAAATTATTTATTTTATCATATATAATATAATTTTTATTTATTATTTATTTTTTTAACAATTATTTCTTAACTTTTTAACATATAATAAATCATCAAATTGTTAAAAAGAAATCTATTTAAATCATATATAATAAAAAAATCTTAAACGTCAGTTTGATAAATTTTTTGATGAAATCTCAATCTGATATTCATTTGGTGCAACCGTTGGAGCAGTGAACAGCAGCTTTTTCATCAAAATTTGAATTTGATATCAGTTTTGGTGAACCGTTGGAGATGGTCTAACGTAACCATTGATAGCCCTTGAATCTAACCAATCAAGAAAGCCTCTAAAGCCTTGAAATCGTTTGAATTGCAAATCAGGTTTTGGGAATTCAAAACCTGAACTTGTGAAGAGAACACAAGAAGGAAAATAAAGATAACCCACAACTTCAACACCCCCATCTCTGAAAAACAATTACTATACGCTAGAGAGAGAAAGAGGAGAGAGAGAGAGAGAGATAGAGGGGGTAAAGTCAGGTTCCAAAAGAACTCAATTGGTAGAGCATAAATTAAAATCAGGGTTTGGTTAGCTTCAACATTTTTTTGTTCTTGAGGATCAAAGAAAATATAAAGAAAGATACGTTTTTTTGGTTACGTTTATTTTCAGAAGTAGTATGGAGGAGATTCATAATAAGGGAATTAAGTAAAATTGTGTTTGTTTTGATGATAGTTATTGGTGTAGGAATTGTTAAATTATTTTTATATAAAATAAATATAAAATAATAAAACAAATAAAAAAAATACAAAAACATTAAACTTTAATGTTTTAAAAAAAATGCCCAATATGTAAAAAAAATTTAAAAAATAAAAAATTCCTAGAAAAAAATAAAACAAATAAAATAATGATTTTTACTTAATAAAAAATACAAAAAATTAAATATTAATGTTCAAAAAAAAATGCCCGACATGTAAAAAATAAAATAAAAAATAAATATAAATAAAAAATTTCTAGTCCGCTGGACTATTTTTCTAATACCAAGTCTTGAAGGCCCATCCAAATCCCCATGGGGAGGCCCATCCTAATCCGGAGCTCACTATCAATCCCCTCTCCATTTCTCAAAACAAACATAATATTAATGGGTTCCGCCTCACTATCAATCTCAATCCCCCCTCTAACTCTCCAAACAAACGGTGCCTTAGATGCTTACAAAGTCAGTGAACCTCTTTCACTCAAAATCCAATTGATTTTGAATGTGGTCTTTCATTTTCCTGCTTTTTCATGCAGTGCAGTCTTGGTTCATACATAACATGTTCAGGGAATGGAAAATTTAAGATAAATAGAAAAAGTGATGCAATACCCAACTTATACTAACAAGACTAACTACTTCATACTAGTAATCAATTTATCATCTTCTCATGGCTCCCACATCAACTGGGCTGAATCTCATTCTCACCCTTAATCTGAATTTTTAAAAAAAAAATTAAAAAAAATAAAATAAAAATTCAAGGATTCTATTGTTCTTCCTTCAAGACAAAAAGGAATAACATATTCTAATTACATATGTTCATTAGAAATACATAAAATTATGTTCTACCAATATACAAACATAGATTGAAAAAATTGAAACTAATGAGATTGAAATACAGAAAGAGCAAAGTGAATGAGATTCTATTGAAAAGAGAGTAGACCAAAAATAGCAACTGAAAAGATTAAAAAGAGTACAATTTGACTAAAGAGAGGCCAGATCGAAGAGCGAGGAAGATAGTAAATCATGTGTTTGAGACCAAATCTGATGGAGCAATAGAGAGAGAGAGAGAGAGAGAGAGAGGATGAGACCAGAGGGGCGGTAGTGACGAGAGGACTAACCTTAGGAAGAGCTTCAACAGGTAGGGCGCATTCAACGCCATCGCGCTCGAAACCCTAGATAGAATCCCTTCAAAACCCAGTATTCATGATCCCGATACATGATCTCAATCCTTTTTCACTCCTCGGTCTCGTAACCTCACGTTCGTGCAACTCAACCGGTCCATCTTCCTCTGCAAAATTATCAGAATCAGAATCAAGAAAAACAAAAGATCGTCAAGAAATTTCAACCAAATCGATTCAAGAATCGATGGATTTAGAATTAGATCTAAACAAGTAATCGAAATCGAACTTGATGAATCTCTCAAGGAGCATGAGGAGAGACACAGAAAACCCTAGATCTAGAGAAAATGATAGAGAGAGAATGACAGAGACGGAAAGAGAAATAAAGACAGAGCACCGTTATAAAGTGAAACGCGTGCTTATAAGAGGATAACGCGTGCTTTTAATTTCACTTTACACCTTCCACAATGTTTGTCAAAAAACGTTGCCTAAAAAACGTGGTTATAGACAACTTTTGTTGTAGTGAAACAACGGGGCCGTTTGGTGTAGCTGTTAAAACAGATTATAAATTATAACTTGATAGATTATAGATTATGGCTTTAATCAGAAGCTGTTAATCTATTTGGTGTAGCAGTTGGACTATAGATTTAAGTTGCTGAGTAATGTTTGTTAAATAAGCTGTAAAGTAGCTTTTTATTGTGTAAATGTCTTTTTTACCCTTGTTAGTTGTAAATTGAATTTATTTTGACTTTTTTCTATTAATTACATATTAAGAGATCATTCCAACACCAAATTAACATAACCCTATTATTTTTAAATAATAATACAATGAAATAAATATTACACAAACCCTTATTATTGTTGGAGATTGTGATGGCGGTTGGGAACTCATTTTCTATTAAACAAATCATAATAATAAAAACACTTGAATTGCAACAATGGTTTGAACAAACCCTTACACATAATATTAAAAACCATATCAACAAAAAAATAAAAAAAACTAATTGGTGTGTGTGACACATGATAGTACTTACAATTATAGGGTCAATATAATTTAATCTTCATAATTCCTCACAAAATTTTAATGTAATTCATAAGGTAATTTAATGTAGTTCCTCATGATAGTACTTAAATTTTAATGTAATTTAATGTAATTCCTCATGATAGTACTTAAATTTAATCTTCATAATTCCTCACAAATTACATTAAATTTTAATGTAATTTAATCTTCATGATAGTACTTACAAAATTTTAATGTAATTCCTCATAATTGTAGGCAGTGAATAGCACAGGACCATAGTCCTTTAACACACAGCTGGTGTTAAGGATTTGATATTGGGCCTTCATGTTATCAAGGGACCATCAGGTTGAAACCAAAAGGCTGAGAGAGGGCAGTGGTTAGAGCTGTAAAATGATCCAATATAAAACAGTTCGACTTATGTTCAATTTCTTAAAAGTTCATTTAAGATTAGCTTATTATGTAAACAAATCAAACTAAAACACATTTTGAGGTTTGTTAATTGAATGGCTTAAGCTAAGGTCACAGGCTATGGCTATGTTCAATTGGGGACATTATTCACACTCAGATTATCATATCTATTTCTAATTTGGAAACTTAAATTTCACTGCTCTAGAGGCATTTATGTGTCTGCTGCCAAAAACTTTCCAGGAAAATGTTTCACAAACCAAAGCAACTCGAATTTTAGAATCCTCCTCCTATGGCTACATGTCACCAAAGAAAAAACCAAACCAAACACAACCCCCGTAAACATCTCTAGTGTGTTCAAAACTTCCCAAGCTTTTGCCTTAAGAATTTTGGACGTCCTAATTCAACAACCATGTCCCCATAAAAAAGCATATAGCCATACATGGACAGAATCAACAAAAACAATAAGCCTCATAATCATCACAACAAAGATTCTTTCTCTTTGGATGCTGTTGCTATCGTTAGACCAGTTATTTATGCTGTTATTATCGTTATGCTTTGTACCCAATTTATGCTGTTACCCAAACAGAGCATTAATAAACCAACTCCTACACAAATTTTTAACATCAAAATAAATTTCCCCAAATGTTTCCTAAACCCTAACTATTCTTATTTTCCCCAATTTGAACAAATTTGAAATACATATATATATATATATATATATATTTGAAATACATGCTGACCATAATATATATATACATGCTGAACAAATTTAAAATAAAAAATAACCAAAACAATACATATATATATATAAACATGCACGCCGAGCAAGAAAAAGAAAAATCAAAGATGAAGGAAAAGAACCAGAGTCGGAAAGAGAGGAACAGAGAAACAGATCCAGAGTCGGAAACGAATCAGAGCCGCACGTCGCCGGAAGCAAACCAACGCCGGAAACAAACCAGAGCTTCACGTCTCCGGAACTGAACCAGTGTCGCAACTTGCTGCTGCGTTGCTGCTGATCTCTTGCCAAAGAGAGATAGGGCAAAAAAAAAAGAATATATATAGGTGGTATAAGGGTCAATATTTCATAACACTTAGACATTTAAGTCAAATTGCAGTCCGCGTTTTACCCGTGAGAATCTGAAGCTGGTTCAACCAGCTTTTGATTTTTATTTTCACCTTGCTTATAATCCGTGGAAGTTGAAGTCGAAGCAGATTCAAGGCTACCAAATAGCTTGAATTAGCTTCTTTTTTTTTTTTTTTTTTTTTTTTAAAAAAAACATCTAATCCGACTTAAATTTAGAGGTTGTTTGGGATTTTTTAAATAAATATATTTTTTATTTTTTATAAATATAAATTTAAATTTAAATAGTGTGATTAAAAATGATGATGTGATTTAAATAAGATAATAAAATTTTAATTGTTTTATTTTTTTTAGAGGATGAAAGG